TTGAAAACTAGAGCCAATCAACAATTTTAAGCATCATTTTCGTTCTCAGTGACCCAGAATTAGTAAAGTTTTACTACATTTATTTCAGAAGCATTTTGGCTGTAGAGCAGTGTTATAAGTGGTAGAATAGAAATATGCTCAATTTAAAAAAAAAGGATTCTAATGAACCCTTAAGAACTCCATGTTTGTAAGCATTAGTTCAGTTTAGCCCTATTACAAGACTGCTTAAGAAGAGAAACAATCTAAATATAATGGATATGAGATTAAGCATAGATCAGCTTTTTATCCAGATTTTTTCATGTTAAAAACAGCACAGATATACAGTAGGTAAGGTAAGAGGTTAACACTAGTAACTTACTTCCAGCTCAAGGTCTGATAAATTAGTTTCCTCTGAAATCTTTAAAAGCAGAAAAGAGTAATGTTATTAATGGTTCTCGTATATAAATATTTCAAAGTCAAAGACAAATTTATGTTAAAAATTCATGCAGTGAACATAAAACAGCTCATGGTGTTATCACATAGTATTTTAAAGGGCATTTAAAAGGCTAAACACTAGTCTAATTTTCCAAGGAGAAATTGATTTACGTCTTATTGTACATATATCTGCCTTTCTGATGAGAATGACTTGCCAAAAAGAAGGGATAAATTTGTTGACACTATCTGCAGAAAGAGACTTCCCCCCTCCCCGCCCCCCATATAGCTGGCTAGTAGGTCAAACCTAATTTCTTATACAGAAGACAGTTCAGAGTTCTCTGTTTACCAGAGAACTAGTGTTTATTTTTAGAAACTGACCCTGTGCATGGCTCCAACTGCAAACTCTTGTTTTCTTCATTCTGTATCAAATCTTCTATTTGCTCCCTGGAGGAAATAGATTAAACAGATTATTTTTTGCTTTTACTAATACAACATTATTGTCACAAAAGCATTTAGTTATATATGCCAAAAGGCAAGGCAAACCTTTTATAAGAAGGATTAATGGAATATTTAAGACGTTTATTATTTTTTACATATGTGTGTGTGTGTGTGTGTGTGTGTGTGTATACACACACACACACTTTTTCATTTTTAGAGACATTAGTATAGTGATAAATATGAAATCTTGAGTGATTAAGAAATCTAAAACAGAAACCAAGTGTAGACTTAAATGCCTTCATATTTGAGGGCCAGAACATACATGGCCATTATTTTCCATCCAAGATCACAAACTAAGAATTGGATTAAACTTTAGCAGAGATTTTGGAAAACTGACAATACCGTCAAGAGTCAAAAATGTAACTAACAACTTGAGTACCCTTGATGTAGCTGAAGACAGATTACTGAAAGTTGCAGATAAGCAGCAAAAAAGCCTGATTAAAAGGAACAGAAGTTTCCCAGACTTAAACCCTCTCATTCAAAGGAACATTTTGTTAAGACTGACAAATTTAGAATCAGAACACTAGAAACTTCAAGTTTTTAGGCAACTTCAGAATGGAGGACTACCACATAAAGAACTGTGCACACACATCAGGATGACATGATTTCATTTTTATATTTCCACTTACACCACTCTCTCAATGAATTTTTTCTGATCCTCAGGAATAGTCACAGGACACTTTGTGGCATTAGGGGAAATGTACGATAGGGTCCCTGCACCATTTGCCTGAGAACGTTTTTCATCATACTGCTCCCGTAATTGTCTTTCCTCTTCCTGATTTAAATATGGGATTCCTAAGAAAAACATTGTACAGATTTTATCATTAAAAGCAAGCAAATATTGCACAGCTCAGAGAGGCTTAGTCACTACCCCGGTCATGTTACACCCTAAAAACTGAAAAAGAAAAAAAAAATCTGTATCCCTCAAATATTTCTTCTAAGCTTCCCTTTCCTTATCTCTAGTTGCAATGGATTTCTTTTGAGAGAGCCAAAGCAGCTGGCACCTTCAAGTCTAAATGAGTCACAAGCACTTTAGGCCCTGCTCCTGCAATCTGATCCTCACAGGCAGACCCCTATTTCTGCACAGAACCTCACTGAATTTGATGGGCCTTCAAATTGTTGATACATGACTGGGGCTTCTGAGTGCTACCACAAAGCAAATAAATAAGGAATAGGGATCTACCCATATGGATATAGTTTAGCATCAGGGGCACAGATTGTTATGGATGTCAAGGAGCTTTGAAGTAGTTGCCATGTATCTCACAGAAAAGATTTGCAAAACATCAGAGCCCTGCAGGTACTAATTACCTTAAGAAACCTGCTGAAATAGGGAAGTGTTGAGCAGAAGTGCGGCAATATATAGGTTCCTAAATTGAGGAACAAGTCAAATGACTCTGGCACTGTCATATTAAGTACCACAATTATCTAGTCCTTTGTTTTTCAGTGGTTAAACACAAACCAAAGTTGTAATCTTTCCAAAAGAACTTTCCTATAGGTTTTACTGCTGGAACAATGGCATTTTCTAGCTTGTCACACTGTGAAACTATCATCACTAAACTATGCTTAAACAAGTAGACATTCACCTGTTTCTAAGAAAATGTAGATGGACATAGTCACTTTCCCTCCTCCCCCCCCCAAACACTGTATAGAACTTTATTTGCATTATTAAAACACCAAATAAGCTATGACCTTAGCAACTTTACCAAACGGTCAAAATGTACATGTTTTGCCTTTTGTTTTAAACAGGAAATGGAGGAAAAGAAAGATAGTCTATAAAAACAGGTTGTAAAATGAAAAAGCTTACCATTGCGAAAAACTTTATTAAAATCAAATCCTTGGTTTGCTAAAAAGTCTATACTTGAACTCTGAAAAAAAGAACAAAAAAAACAGCTTTGTGACTGATTCTACACCACCGAAATTTCAAAGGTCAATTAAAAAACAACCCAGATATTTTCCTCAAACATATTTGTTTTAAAAAACCTATACTAACTTTTTTCTTTGTCAAAGTATTAGGTTAGTGAACTCAAGAAAGTTAGTCTGTGCAATGAAATAGTTTATTAAAAGATGAAGTTTAATTGAGTAGAACAAGTCATTTGTAATTAAATCTCTCCATCAGTATTTTGTCGCTTACTTGCTCCTAACAGATAATCTACGGCTTGCGCACTATGGATAAAAATACATCCCAAAACCTTAACATCAAACCCACCATAACACCAATTAATACGTAGCACACTGTTTAAATTATAATAAAAAAGCCACTTTGAAGCTATGTACCATTTTGATTTTAGTTAGAAGCTATAGAGTCTTGATTTTAGTTTGCCCAGAGAGCCAAGTGAAGCTCAGGATTGTTTAAAAGTGTACCCTTTCAAACAAAAACCTTACAAATGCATCTACAGGAGCCATTTTGGCGATGAGACTCATGATATCCAGGGCAACATGGAAACAAGCAAGGCAGTAGTTTCTGCCACAGGCAAAGCACAATATAATGGTAATAAGGGTGGAAAGGAGTGTAAAGTTTTCTACATATGTATCTATTACTATATAGATTTTTTTTAAATACATATGCAACTTTCTGTAATAAGAAGAGAAGTGCATTCTGGGCTCTACCAAGCTACACATGACTTGTATCACTCTTTGGTCTGGCACAAAGGTTCAACAACTGTTAGAAAAGAGTCAGGTGGACAAAACATGAGACTATACATTGATGATGTCTGCTGGCTTTCCTTTACTGCTTAGCACTGGCTATGAATCCCAATCTTTGGAATACTGATTATATTTTAATGAGATATGGATGAGAGACAGGAGAAAAATAAAGACATAGGAGAGAAAGAGTTGGGGGGGGAGGGACCAGCGGTGGAGGGGGAATGGGAATCAAGTGAAAGCACTGATGTGGCAAAATCTCATGAGTCCAAAAATTCTCACAACAGCTTTGGGAAGCAATGAGAGAGAGAGGGAGAGAATAAGAATGAATAGGAAGAGAAAACAAGAAAAAAGCTGGATAAGAAAATACTTTATAATGTCATAAATCTGATTGTCAGCTTCAGACTGTCATCTCTGTCTCCAGAAAAAACTAAGACCTTTATTAAACAGCAGGAGTTTAAAAAGGGGCATGACCTTTACTTCATTTTTCAACCTAGTTTTCTTCATTTATAGAATATGGTCCCACTAAGACTTTTTTTTTACTGAAACTTGCTTCCTTCTCTATGCACTGGGGGGAAAAAAAATCCATGAAGAATGAATTATACATAGGCAAAAATGCTTGAGGGACTAACCAAAATTGACACCACTACAGAATTTTCACAAAAATCATTTTGAAAAGTTTTCCAGTAGCAATACATATAAACCTGTTTTTCCACTAACCTGACAGACAAACTTGACATCTGGTGAACTTCTATTGAAGGGTTTTGGAAAAATATAGAAGTTGAATGATTTCATTATGTATCTGTGAAAAGTAAGAGTTACAAATCAAAATAGAGATTATCAATATTACCTAGTATAAAAAAAGTTAGGAATAAGTCAAGAAACAACATACTTAGCTTCTGTGTGGTCATATTTAAAACTACAAAGGCCAAACTGAAAAAGCAAGAAATCCATGGAATGCTGAAAAGGAAAAACAAGTGAGAATAATGGTTACAATACATTTTGAAATGCAACTGAGAGGCACTCTGGGAAAAAATTATTTGTCTGAGCCTCAGATATCTGTACCTCACTGATAAATATTGGCACTACTAGCTTTACCTCGAGTGAAAATGCCTTGGCATAATACCTTAGTTTAAAAAGGACCTTTAGCTACATAAGACTCATGTTTAAAAAGAAAATTATTCTTACCAATAACATTCTATTTTTCTTCTGAAGTTTAGCATTTCATTTTTACCTTTTCTTCATTTTTGCATTTTTTTTCTGCACTTCACTCAGCTTGGACAATGAATAGACTAAATTTTCGCTTTGTTTCTCATGCAGTAGGGCAATATTGTTTCAGCTTCCATTATTGCAACGGTATGAACTAAACCCAGCTTTTTAGAAACAAGTTCTTTTCTATTTATATTAAAGAGACACCACCAACTTGATCTGTTCAACTTCAAGTAAGTAGTTTCTGAAGATGTACATGCCTCAAGTACCTCCTGACAGCTTTTCTAATGTTACAGCTATCTTTCCAAAAGTTGTTTCTCTTCTCCATTGTTATACACACAACCCACAAGAGGTGAGCCTGAGACTATTCAGGCGGAGACAGAGGAACTGTACACAAAAAGCTAAAAAAATCCACAAAGTAAACAAAATGCAAAATAGAACTATTCTTCTAATATCTTGAATTCTAATAATCCTAACTGTAACCTCTAACAATAGCAGATAAAATATACAGATATATGATTTAAGTTTGGTAAATTCTTGCTTTAAAAATCTAGTGTTGGGGCCAACCGTCTCTTTAAAGGGACAAATGTAGTAGCTTTTATAGCTAATAGCAAATATGCATGATCATAAGCTTAGCAAGTATTTTACAAGAAAAGGCTTCCTTCCCTTTCTGAGATATAATCTTAGTTTTAAATAGTACTGAAAGCTTTTGGCATTTTCCTTCTCATGACTGACAGTCAACCTAACCCCAAGATCTGAGAAGTAATTTAAGCACTTCCAGTAGAAGATAATAGTATTTTGAAAAAAATAAAAAATAAAAAAAGGATACCTATTACAGCTTCAATAGTCAAAGTTGTTAAGTGTAAGCTGTTGCCACAATACCCTTTCTAAAGGCATGTCTATATGGTAGGTTAGTGCACGGCAAATGGGGGTATAAATCTACAGCGCTTCAGCATGCCACGCAGTGACAGTCTGTGCGGACCTTGCTGCTGCACACTAAAAGTTCCCTAGTGCACTTTGTGTTATTGTGCAGCAGTAAGTACACATGGACAATAATTGTAGGCCATGCTAGAGCACTGTAGATTTACACCCCAGCTTGCTGCATCTTAACTGTTCATCTAAACAAGCCCTAACACCAAGTTGCAATCCTCTCTTTTCCCCCATTTCATCTGGCAGCTGCCCAAAGGGTTCTTGTTTGGTGGTGTGTGGTTTCCCCTCCCTTCCCCCAGTCCCCTTCCCCTTGTGTACAAGGCCAGATATCAGATTCCCACCTTCCACTATCTGTCTAGCACAAGGTTCTCAAGCTTATTTGATTGGGTCCCCCTTCTTTGTGTCTGTAGTAATTTACACAAACACACACACAAGTACATATACCACCACACAGCTCTGAAGGCAGAGTGGAGAGCAGTGACTGCTGGCTGGGCGCCCAGCTCTGAAGGCAGCACCATGCCAGCAGCAGCACAGAAGTAAGGGTGACAATGTGAAAAGCGATATTCATCAATATCACTTTTCACAGCAGATTTAGCACCCCATTGCCACCCTTACTAAAGCTGATGCCATCTCAGGGCTGTCAACCAGAGCCCTGCCACCTCCAGATGAGGAATTTGGGGACAGGGGAAGGAAAGCCTGAGCTGCCTCCTGGTGAGGGGGAGGAGAGCCTCCTGTCATGGCCCTTCTGCACAAGCCCCAGCCACCCAGGGCTGACAGCCAGAGCTAAAAAAAAAAAAAAAGGGGCGGGGGGCCACTTCGGCTCATGCTTCCCTTTAACACATTCCTAAACCTCTGTTGGGAGGTCCGCCCCATAGTTTGAGAACTGCTGGTCTAGCATCAATGACACTTACATTGGCAAAAGAACTAGTGTAGACTGGACACAGGCGCTTGACCACCATGACATCTGGCACTTGCCCACTGTTAGACCAACGTTAGACCAATGCTGGAGGCTCTCGAGACAGTTAGCATAGACATTGCCAGACCCCTGCTCAACAGGATAAGCATGGCCTTACTAAAACACTCACCAATTGCTGTAGACCAGTGGTTCTCAACCCATTGACCATTGTGAGCCACGTATGTGGCCCACAATGCGTTATGTAGGCTCTGGGCCGTAGGTTGAGAACCACTGCTGTAGACTAAATAGATCAAAAATATTGTTTTTAATCAATAACTATTTTAACCTAATGTAAATTTAAAATCCTACTTGTCTCCACTGTTTCCCTGCCAACATCCCGTAAGCAGCCAAATATTAGACTACAGGCAAAGTTAAAAAACATTTAGCCTATTTTTCCTGCTGGAATTCAAGTTTTTCGTCTATGAGTACTATTTAGAATGAAGCAGAAGTCTTAATTTGTCTCAGAATAATGCCTATCATGACATACTGATATACTACTAACAAATCTAACAGTTTGTTCTAGTCTCAGATACATTGCACCTCCTACCAAAGATGGCAAAATACTTAAATAGTTTCATTTTAACTCTTAAGTTTTACATTTACCTTTTTAAGTTTTTGATACCTTTCCTCTGGTGTGTCAAAGCCATTGGTTAATGTGCTAACAGATGGCCCATCACTGATTCCTAAAAAATATAGGAAATATTACATAAAAATAAAGCTATTTAAAGACAGTAGGTGAGGAGCAGCAACAAAGGACAATTATTAAGAAGTCTGCCACTATGTCACTAACATAATATTACATTACATGTGTATAAGTTACCATTCAACTGAAAATAAACCTCTTCCATTACAGGTGAACATCCCTCTTTAAACAAAAGCCAATTAAACTATGTCATTCTACATAAACAATCTGGTGAGTTCAGAGAAAATAACATGCTAGCAGCGAAGCCATGTTCTAGGAAAAACTATGAAAGCCTCACTTGTGTCATTCACCAGTTAGATAAATAATCCTGATAGAATGGCATGTGGTACCAATGACCAGATGTTGATGGGTCTCAAGCCACATTACTGGAGCCAGAACCAGAGTCAACGAAGTGACAGGAGTGTGAAAAATATTGTCAAGTGACTGTTGGCATCTCTTATGCAATACATAACCCATATGTACAGTGTTAAATTTAACATTTTGACCTAGCTTTTGTTTTAAGTATTTCAGTTTCCTATTCAGGCATCTTAGAACAACAGAAAATTCTAAAGACAATTATTACATCTAACAGCAAAGGGAAGTCCATAAGCAAAGTAGCTGCAGATTCATTACAGCAAATCTCTGTTAGCCCATTTGCTAATACTCCCCCTTCACAAGGGGTGCTGAAACAATTTTTATAGCGGGGATGCTGAGAGCCCTTGAACCAAACTGTAAATCCTGTATATAAGGAAACCACTTCAAGTCAGGGGGTATGGCACCACCCCAGCACCCCAATTCCAAATCTATGACGTTCACAAAATAATCTTAACTGTACCTGAAAATTCGCCATCAATAGCCAAAAAGTCTGCTTCCTCGATGGCTTCATACACTTTATTTAGGTTATCCTTAAAATCTATAAAGAAATCATTAAAAACATCCCTGAGAACAGGGCTGTTATCATCTCGGGAACCTCCATCCCGCCTCCCACCGCACGGGAGCTAGACAACAGGGCCCTGAGAGCCACTCTCAGTCTCGCAGCCTTTTTAAGAGACTCAGTGTCCAGTTACAAGGAGAACCGTCATTTTAGAGATCAACCGACAACCCCGGGCCTGCAGAGGAGAGAACCAAATGCAGGGCGCCCAACGACTCGGCTCACGTTCGGCGGCTTCCCCGACAGCACACAGGCCACGGACCGCGTCAGCGCAGGGCCACAAGCAGCAGCACAAGGGCCGGGCTTTGGGGTGCAGACAGCGGGCAGGTGGTCACAGCTCAGCCAGGTACCGCGGAAGGGCCCGCGCGTGGAGCCCCGGCCCCTGTGAGGCAGCGGCAGGCAGCCCACCTACTGCTCCCCGTCCCCTCACTCGGGGGCGGCTGAGCCGAGCCGAGCCTGCCCTGCCTGGCGCCCTCTCGCGGGGCCTCCCCCCTCCTCGGCACCAGGAGCCTCCTCGCAGGGGCACATGCAGCTCCCGAGCACAGCGGAGCCCCGGCTGCTACGCGAACGGGCCGGTCACGGCCCCGAGGACACTCTCGGGGCCCCGGGAGCGGCCCAGGAGAAGAGCGGGGAGGCCAGGCCCTGGGAAACCGGCCCCCACCCGGCGCGCGCCCCGCCGTCACTCACTGCTCCTGATGATCTCCATCCCCGCAGCCCGCACCAGCCCGGCCGGAGCCCCGCTCCGCAGCGTCCTAAACCCGGCTCTGCCCGCACCGAGCACTTCCGGAAACAACCCTCCTCCCCCGCCGGACACGTGAGCGCTCACGTGAGCGGCCCGAGGCGGGCGGGGATAGCTGCCATATTGTCCCTCGGGGCGCCAATCCGACGGGGCGGTTTTGGGGGTTTGTGCTTCTTGGCTTCTCGCGCTCAGCCGCGCTTGAAGTTCCACAGCGCGAGCTAAGCGGCTGTCGTACCCA